TTTACAGGAGAAGAAAAAACAAAACAAAAAAACCAAGTCAATCACCTTTTGCTATGATAGTTTAATTTACTTTAACAATTAACTTTACTTTTTTACTTTAAAAAAAGTCCCAATTTTGGGCTCTCCCTGATGGCACAACAGGTTAAAGCACTGCATTATGAAGCTTGGCTTGCTAGATTTTTCTAGATAAAGCTTTAGATTAGGTGACTTTCCTTCTGCCTTCTGAAAGCATTGGTTGTGTTCTAGCAACCAGTGTTATTCTTGAGACATTTAAGATAGAGAAAGTAGCAGATGGTACAAACAAAAAATGTACAAAAGATCAAGATAAGACAAAATATATATCAATAGTGTATAGGGATAGACATTAACTTGAATCCACTTTTTTCCTCAATCAAATTAAAAAAAACTTAAAAAGGGTAATTAGTGCAGACAAGGGAACTGAGTATTTTTATTGACTGTTAATCGATGTGTACAGAATGAACTTTTTAGAGGAAGTAAATATAACTTTCTAATGAAATCTATTATTTTTACTTTTGTAAGAAAGAGAGTTTTTGCTCTTTTCTAATTGCAAATTTTAGTTCTCTTTTCTTTGGTAAAGATACATAATTTAATAATTTAAATTCTAAGATTTCAATAATGTGCCTGTATAATTACAGACTGTAATTATTTATATAGTAAATCTTTACCATGTAGTTGATTCCACTTAGAATTGAATTGTCTTATTAGTAAAATATCTTATAAGAACATACTTTGAGGAATATTATCTAAGCATTATTTTATAGCTAAAAATTCTTCACAGATATTTAATAGAAAATATCTTATAGGAATTGAACTATATTTTTGAATATATTTTAAAATCTATTTTAATAGCAACACATTGTATTATATAGAGAAACCCATTTTGTCATAAGTATCTATATATATAATTTATGACCATGATTGATGTATGGTGGAAGTGTTATTTAAAGACTGGTATAACACATGAAATTGGTATGTAGATATAAGATAGATTCATGATTTAACTACAATTATTTATAATGTACATTATAGGGAATCATGTATTATTGGTGAAAGAGATTATTTTTCCCTTTTAAAAAGTTCATAGACTGACTCCATCAGCCAGTGAAAATTTTTCATTCAAAAGATGCCAACATCTTTTTTCCGTGATCTCACATTGCTCCTCATTCACTTTTCACACACAGAACCTTATTCATGCTGAGGCTCACAGTCAAGTAAGTTGGCTTGATCTCACCTCAGTGAAACCATTGCATTTTCTTTTGGTCTTCTTTACACATTTGCACCATGCATGCTTCAAATCTGGAAAATAACATACTTCTGGGCTGGAGAAACAAAGAAGCAGCAATTTCCTTGCCTTAGTCTTTGGCCCATGATGAAGTAGAGAGCATGATGTGGTGATTGGAGCCAGACCTAACCCTGGCCATGGGCACTGCAGTCGACCCAAACCTAATTAAGAAAGATCCTGAATAAACTTGGGTGTGAGCCAAAATCACTAGTCCCTTCCATCAATATTTTTGATATAAAAATTAGCATCTGGACTGAATAAAAGGAACTCTGTTTCATGCCACAGTTAAAAAAAAATCCCTTCTTGTTTCTAGTACTCTAACCTTCTGATGTTGGATATTTTATTGATTTGTATTGATGATAACATTTCAAAGCAATTGACTTGGAACCATCAGATTTAAGGTTTCCACTTGGGCCAGATGAAAATGACAAGTTCTCCCTCAACCCAAACTGTCATAGGTGTCAACATTTCCCGAATAGCTAAACTGTAGTCTCATTTGTTCTCTTATTCTTGCTTGAATTACTTCTGATAATACATAAAATTTATTTGAAATAAACTTTTGAGAAACTTGATTTGATACGAGTAGGGCAGTCTCAGGAAAATACAATGCCATGTCAGGGTCTAGGAAGCCCTCTTTATACTGTAGTCTTTCTGGCTATATTAACACTGTTTCCTTCCAAATTGAGTCCATTAAACTCCATGACAGTCCCCAGAAGATTGTGTATTTCAGTGTTGTTGGTATATCGTGGTGCATAGTTAAGTGTTGATTTATTATCTTTCAAGACCCAGTTAGAAGTAATGCCTAACTTGGATGCAGGAAATGCCCATTCAGGGTATGAGATAGAGAACAAAGAAGGTTAATATTTGATTAATTTTGATGACTGCTATCTGAATACTTATTTTTTAATGAGGTTGGAACAAATGAAAACATCTCTAGTTTTTAGAGAGACTCAGTGAAATATTTACTGATGAAATCATGATTTTTGGAGCTGGCTTCAAAGTGATCTTGTAGGAGTGAAGACGGTGCATAAATATATGAAAAGAATGAGCCATGAATTGATAATATTTGAAGCAATGTATATTGGATACATGTGGGTTCACTATATCATCCTATTTTATTTTATGTTTAAATTTTCCTTGGTGGACCCTCCTTGGTGGTACAAGGGGTTAAAGTGTAGCACCATCAAGCTATCTGCAGCTACTGCAGCATGAGTTAGATCCCTGTCCCAGGAGGTGACCCACACAGTGTGGCAGACCTCTCCTGTCCCCTCATCTGTTCCCCCCAGCAGTGTGTTTCATTCTGCCTGTTCTGTTCCCCATTCTGCCTCTGGTGAATCCTCTCATTCCCTGTACCTCTGACTTATAACCTAGTTTTTCTACGCATAAATAAATAAAATCTTAATAAAATTTTCCCTTGTAAGACTTTTTAAGTGAATAGGTTAGAAATAATATATTTTTTAAAGATTTATTTATTTATTCATACAGAACTGGAGTACAAGCCAGAGATGCGGAGGGTGAGAGGATTCACCAGAGACAGAGTGGGGAGCAGAACAGGCAGATCGATGAAGTACACTGCTGAGGGGAGCAGCAGGCGGGTCAGGAGAGGTCTGCCCCGTCATGTGGTCACTTCCGGGGCAGGCGGGGAATCGAACTCATGCAGAAGTGGCTTTAGCTTCTCAGTGCGGTGCTTTAACCCGCTGCGCCACCAGGGAGGGCCTAGAAAAAATATTTTTAAGTGAATGTATTTAAAAAAAAAAAAAAAGAACAACCTAGCTTCATTCCCTAAAATTGCCTTCGTTTGAATAATTACAGTTGTCTTGCCTAATACAGCACACGCTCCTGCTTCTACCCTGGTGGCTTTGTCTGATGGCATGGTGTTGGGGGTACTACAGGTCTGGCTCCATTGCCTCCACCAGAGATAACTCAAGCATCTCAATTGCACAACTACCCTGGATTGAGGAGGGTTTTCTCAAAATGACATCACAGTTCAACTTCTCCTCTTTTAAATTCTCCTATCCCAATTTAGTTATTGTAACTTTGTGTGTAAATTCACTGGTATACTGATAAAAGCTTAAACAGTAATTTAAGTAGTGTTTGCAATTTCTGCTGTGTAAATACTTCCATGATGACCAATTTTAAATATGATATCATTATGCTAATCTATGTCATATGCTAATATATCATTAATTGGGAAGGGATGAGCACAATTGATTCTTATAACAAACACAGTGCAAATCAAAGCCAGCCACCCTTGCCAGTTTTCCTCAATGAAAACCTTAAGTGAAAATCTCTACCTGTCTTTGTTTTTAGGGCAAAACAAACTAAATTACAGAAAATCTTAATTTTTTATATTATCAATTCTGGTGATTAGTTTATTAAAGAATATAACATTTCACAGGCAGAATGAAATAATCACCTGAGATGTTTCAGAGAAACATACACATCATAGTAAGACATACACTACACACACACACACACAACCAGGAGGCAATGTAACACAACAGTTGCCTACAGATATTTAAAACACAGACTCCTTTTAATTTCCTGAACAGTACATAGACTGGGTTGGGTCGTCTGAGAGAATGCTGTATATGCCCAGAGAAAACAGATATCAGATATGTTGTTTTCACCAAGACCAGAAAAAATTGCTAGAAATAATCATATACATTCAAAATATTGCTGTAAATCAAGATGTATATGTATTTGAGTCAAAATTTTCTCATGAAAACTTTGATTTTTAAGGCAAAGTAAGCCATTTATATTTTCTACCTTTGAATAAAAATACAAAGGACTATTGCAAGTTTGAAGAACTCTTAAGAATTTCATCATTGAGAATTCTTGGACGAAATAAATAACGAGTGACGAAGATATATTGTAAGAGATAGGAAGAAGGAAAAAAGATACCACTTCAAAGGAACAGAACATCTTGTGGAAAGTTATATACAGGAGAAATGGAGAAGAAATACTTTTGTTCAAACACAGGATAGATCATTCTTTAACATTGGGCTCACGTTTTTTAGAAAGAAAAGTTACCTGGAAAATGGGGACAAAATATCCCATTGAAGAGAAAAGTTTGGAGCAATTCACTTTAGCATATAAACATCCTTAGCTATAATCAGTACTGGGAAAAGATTTCAGTTATATTATTAAAGCTAATTGGTCTATAAAAACAAGAACTCCAAGTGGGTTCTTGAATTTTTACTTTCATTAGAATCTTTTGGACAGACTGGCAAAAATGGAGTCTTAGCAACTCTCTTGAACAGCGCATGACTGATTCAGTGAAGGCTTACTGTGGGACCCAGTGATCTACATTTCAATATTTTTTAGTAAAATTTGAAGCCAATGGTCTCTGTCAAACCAAAACATACTGAAAAATTATGTGGCCAAACATCCTGGACACCACAACTCAGTGTTAAGATAAGGGATATATCTGCACATTTCCCTGTTATTCAAATGTATTTATTCAATCATCAGCCAGATTCTCATCTACCTTTATATTCTTCTAGCTCTGTAAAAGAAGGTGTGTGTGTGTGTGTGTGTGTGTGTATGCAAATATGTAAATGGGGCACTTGTAGTATATAACAATAATTCTGATAGAAATTTTTCTTTCCCAGCAGTACCAATCAAAGCTATATTTTTGGTTCTGGCATAGTTATTGAGATTCAATAATCCTTATTGAATTGAAATCATGGTTTTATTAATCTAGCAGTAAACTTTTTCTTATGAATATTACAAATTTTCAGTATTCACAATCACTGTCTTGAACAGCCTCATTTTATCTGACATACACTCTGATATTCCAGTCCAAACGGACGTGGGTTCTTCCTAACATGCTCACGGAACATTTCATTAGGATTGACGTTTTCACAAGTGTATATTCAGCATATATTGACAGAGACAGTTCTTTTATCTTTTACTCAAAAATGTAAGAAATTGTGCCAAGTCTATGGAATCTTGATGAAGAGGGAGTAATCGCCCTCCTGCCTTCCATGCAGGGTGGAAAAGTAATTAGTTTTCTATCATGAGTTAAACTGAAACAAAATAATATTGTAGGCATTTGATGCTCACAAAGACACCCTTAAAAAGGTTTAAAACTCAATGGATAGGTGTAGAGGTATGTGTGACGATCATAGACATCATAGAAGGGGAAAATTTATTGCTTGCTATAACTTAAGGAACTGCAAGACACTCTGTTACCCTCCTTGCACCCTGTTTCTTTTGTAGAACTGAAGATATTCATGCATTTTGGGCAAATGACTAGGAACAATTTCACTTACATGCACACTTATAAGAAAAAGACCTAAGCCCCTTCCTTTCTTTTGCACGTTGATACAACATCTGTTTTATTTGCACACACAAAAAATGCCATACCAGTTCATTAAGAATTGGGATTTAATTAGAAAAATCACTCACTGGATGGGGTAACTGAATTTTCAGGATATACTTCCTTTCTTCTTCCATGAATAGTTCTCCTTACAATTTTTCCCGAGGAATTCTATCATTGTGTTTGATTTTTAAACTGATACACTTACTGCGGAGTTACCATTTCCCCATTAGGAAACCTTCCGCATTGATCCACCTTTATTCTTTAATAAACTTTGAACATTAGGGCATGTTTTTCCACCCAACACTGCTGCTGTGAGTTGAGTTTCGATCTCAGTGCACAGCATGAAAGCTTGGGTCCATCTGTGTCACACCATGTCAAGCCTCTCTTGAAGTGATTTGTTTATAGTGTTATTTGATGGCGTGGAATGTTCTATAATTCATTCAAACTATTACAGAAGCTTTGCTAAAAGGTCACCACTGCTCCTTCATTTCCAAATCTGGGCACCATCTGGGAACTTGTAAAAGATAAGGTTTTCCATTGGCTTTTTTCCATCCCAACTAAATCCAATTAACAAAGGACTACTTTTGCAGACAGTGTGCTCACACTGACAGAGACTGATAGACAGAACTCAAATTACATTAGCTGCCCAATAGTGTGCAAACCCACTTTGCACCAAATTGGAGTGTATGTGTCTTATAGGCTTCCATGGAGGTGTCAGTTTTGAAAAAGTTGAATAAAATGTCATTTTTGAACCAATCCATTCCTCAAGGGTAGTCTCGGGAGTCAACACTAAAGGAAATTGAATATCACCAGTTACTCAAAATTAAATAGGAACATGACAATTCATTCTGTAAGGAATAAAGTCTATGCATGTTAAACATTCATTCTATATGGCACCATCAATGTTCAAGTTATAATTTAACAGTTTCAGTCTAGGCCTAAAACTGGCTTGTGTTTGCTTTCTGTCCCCTTCCTTATGAAACAAAGTCTTAAATTTTCCAAGCTTCAATAGCTCAGCTGTAAAACTGTAGGAGACCTGCAAGAGGAAAAAAAAAACTTCCTTCAAAGATGTCTCTAGTCGCTGCTGGCCAGGTCTGCTCTTTCCCTGGAAACATTAACTCTGCCTTTGACACTTGTCCTTGGAAAAAGTCCAAATGTGGCAAATGGTAAAAGCAACATTTTTTCACCCTCCTGCTTGCAACCAGCCATGATAAAGATGAGTTCTAGCTGGCGCTTTCATAGATAGAACAAGATCAGCTACATCCCACCACCCTTGCACACATCTGTAGATAAAATAAGTAAACAATGAATTAGAAATCAAAACCCTCTCACTTGGTTGGAACTACTGAAAGGGTCTGGACCAAAGAGACTGCACAGTAGCAGTTAAAACACAGGCTCGTTGCCATTAAAAAGTCTAAAAAGTGTGTGTGTGTGTGTGTGTGTATTTCTTACAGGATACTTGGAGAGGAGAAACTTAAAATCTAGAGCCATATTTATGTCCTTCCAGTCCCAAGCTGGTGATATTTAAAAACACAACAATATCTCCCTCAGTTCAATTCGGCTGGTTCACAAACCAAAATTGTCCTTAGAAAGGGGGAGAAATCCATTTATATTCCTTTTGCGGAAAGAAGGGAGGTCTTCTGGCCAAGTTTTTAGGTTCCTTTCAGGACCAGGAGACTTAATCATCAAGTTCAAAGTTTGTCTCATCATAAAGTTCAGGTCGTGCTGACTTCTTGTGCCGGGAATATTTCAGTTGCAGGAGCTCACCCATTTCATCCAAGGCTTCCAAGACCTGTGAAGAGATTAACTTCCATCAGTTATCTTTACATTCCTAAATGGTTCTGGTAGCCAGGTTAATGTCAAGCCTTACATAGAAATCACAATCTTGTTTTAACAGCTTCTATTTTTTACCTTTTCTTTTCTTTCTTTTTCTTTTCTTTTTTTTTTTAACACAGAAGAACTGGGATATAGGCAAGAGGAGTGGGGTAGGGGGCTGAGGGCTGAGGGAGAGGTTTCACCAGAGACAGAACGGGAAACAGAACAGGTGGATTTACTGAAACACACTGCTGAGGGAGCAGCGGGCAAGACAGGTGAGGTCTGCTGTGCCATGTGGGTCAGTTCCCTGGCTGGGGGTCAAACTCAGGCCATCATGGTGATATTGCTGAGACTTCACCCCTAGGCAACCAGGGAGACACCACCAGCTTCTTTGATTTTGAAGAAAAGGAAAAAGGTACAAAATCGTATGGTGTGGGGAATGTTAAGTGCTAATTCCATCTTCCCATGTTTTATTTCCCCCCTCCTACTTTTCAAATACTTATCTCCTGTTCCATAGAATATATATCTTAAAACCACAAAGGACCAAGAACTCACTTGTCTCAGTTCTCCTAATTTAGGCAGCCCCTAAATTTAAACAGCATAGGTAGCCCCAATTTTACAAATGAAACCATTCAGATTATTAAAAACTGAAACTATATTTTTTCCTCCTAGGATATCACTAAACCAATGTATTGGGAATGTCTTTTAAACCCTTTTTGGGCCTGTTTTTCTTGACCTGTCAAATGAAGAGGGAGATAATATTAGGGTATATTGTTTCAAAAAAGGTTAAAATGAGAGTTTTTAATACTAGAATGGATGACTATGGAAGCTCAGGAACTTTCCTCTTTGGAAAGTCTTTAAAACTGACATGTAAGATAGCTTTCACATGTTAAGTGGAGTTATATGTGAGGCAGGATTATGGGTGATTACATTTCTATTAAAAATTATAGCAAATTGATTACCAACAAAATATCAAATTATCTTATATGTATGTGTGTGTATGTATGTATGTACAGATATATTTGGCATTTTGAAATGTCTTCTTTATTTCAAAATAAAAATACAAAATGCTAGGTATTCAGGTATTTACATACATCCTTGCATAAAAGTCATACTATTAGATCCCTGGATGGGCCCAATCTTAGTATATGTAGCCAGAGAGAGCACAGAAATACATATTTTAAATGGCACTGATCTAGGATAGATTATATTGCTCTTTGATGAGGGTTGGGCAAGGACTAGCTCAGAGGTTCCAAAGTCAAGTGCCTGCACAGTTGAGGGACAGGTGAGACGATTCATGGAGGATATGGGAGGAAACCACAAGACTTCTATTCATGTAAACGTCAACTTTTTTAACTTCTATTTTGTGTCTGTTATGTAATACATGCTGTGACAGGAACTTTGTTGCCACTTTGATGACAGGAACATTAGGAGGGACACAACAGTGATGGAGCAGATTTGCAGGGGTAGACTCTGATGTGTGAGCATAAGTTCTTGTGCCATTTATTGACATCATACAGGCTGGTAAAAGCTGACCATGTGACAATGGACTGAGGAATAGGGCCCAGGAATGGGGGACAAAGTTTTATAAGGGAAGGGGGCATCGTGACCATGTGTCAAAAGATAGTTGCATCAGCAGAGTATGTGTTATCATAGGCAGAGGCATCCTGAGACCACCATGGAGATGGTCAAGTAATCAGGTCAACAGCGACCTACGCGTCTCTGGGCCTGCCTCGTGATATGGGCTATACTCCAGAATGTTCTGCTGTGATTTATGGATAGCAAATAGGTCACAGTTGCCCTTAAATAGCCAGCTCATAGGAACCCCCTTGCACATAATATATTAATGGATGTATGCTGAAACCCACATATTAAGGACTATCCAGGACATTCCTGTATACCTCATGAGTTCATTTATTATATGTCATTATATCTCAAAGCGGTATACCTCAAAACTAGATCTATTCAGTTGCTGCAGCCTGGGAGTAAACACTACTGAAAAACCATGTACATCTTAGCAACAGAAGTTGGGGAATTTGTACCCAAGATGATTATTAGGAAGCAGAGACCAGGTTTGGGTTGCATGTTTTCTGGAAGTAGTGACTGGATCTAGGTGGAATTCTTTTGGAAAGGCAGGAGTTTTTTGGCAAGACGAGAACTGTCGTTGGTGAAAGAGCATCTATCACTTATGTTAGAAGAGGGAATTTTAGCTGTTTTGTGTTTGTCCTGTTTTGTGTTTGCCCTGTTTTGTTTTGTGCCATCTGCATTTTGTCTTAAACATAGTCACTGACTGGACTCGTTTAATGTTTGTGTTCTGTGAGTGGTAATGTTCAGTTTCAGGGGCTCAAAGGGTCATTTTCTACTTTGTCTTCTGTGTAAAAGTGGGAACAATAATAGTGGTTGCTGCTAACGAGTGTACAGTACACCAAGCACTATATTAAGTGTTTTATATACATTATTAGTAATAACAACTAATATTGAGTAGCTTTATATAAGAGGCACCATGTCAAATGCTGATAGACCTCATTTTAAAAAATCTTCACAATTGTCTGGTGAAATAGATGTTATATCATACTTTTAAAATGAGAAAATAGGGGCTTGTCCACGTCTCCCAGGTAGGAAGAGGTACATACACACACGTAATGAATTTCTACCTTTATGTATAATAGCTTATTAGCATAAAATAAATTAACTCATATAGAGTAACTCATTTCCACCACTATACTTGTATACTTGTCTATTTTTTCTTATATGATTTATTCTTATATGAATTTATTCATTTAATAAATTGCTTGTTTATTAGTACCTCTTTTTAGACTTTTTGCCCCACGGTTCTGTTTCAAGTAATATCTAATAGGGCTTGCTAAACAGCACTGACTGTATAAGAGTCCCATTAATCCCCAGCTGATTGAGATGCCTTCGTTCTTAATCTTATTCATTCACATAAAGACTGAACTTAAGGGGCAATGAAATATATATTTTTGAAATGTTGTTTTAAAATCATTTACACCTCATGTAGGTCTGGTTGATATGATAGATCTGTCTTTATTATTGGTTTTTCAACATGTTGCTTAGTTGGGTCATATTTTATTATGATGGATTTGGTGACTATGAAAAAATGTTAGGATATAGGCAGTTAATGCTAACATAGTGTGTGAGGTTGCCTTTTGCATTGAAGAACAAGTCAATAGCGTATTAGCTAGCTATTCATTCAGTCTTGTCTACAAAACCAAAATGCTGACTTAACCCAAATATTCACTAAATTGATTTTCTTTTCTAACTACAGAATTGATCATACTGATGGGTATTGTTGGCATATACTTGTACTTTTTCATTTAATTCTGGGGTTACATTTTTGCTCCTCCATATGCACACATGTTCCACTCACCTTCTACCAAACCACCCATGCCAATAACCCCTCCGCCTTCCTCCCCCACTCCTCCCTCCCACCTGTTCCTTCTGGTAACCATTAAATTCTTTCACTAAGTTGAAGATTTATTCCTGCTACATTTGCTCATGTATTTTTTTTTTGTTATTTATATTCAACAGATGAGTAAAACCCTCTGATATCTTTCACTCTGACTTATTTCATTTAACACGATCACCTTGAGTTCAATCCACTTTGACCCAAAAGCCACTATTTTTTCACAATTGTGTTGCAGTTTACACTTTTTTAAAAAGTGGGTTTTGTTAATGCAGTTTACCCCAACTACATTCCTGAACTACATGCTGAAGAATAACCCAGGGAAGCCCAAACTCACAAGCTCAATAAATAAACCTGCTCAGAATCTGAAGTCCCAGTAACAGGGCTCTGTTGGCCTGTGGTATACTCACCGTGTCTAACATCTCCCGGGTATGTGCTGCTGAAACACAAAACCGAGCCCGAGCTTCTGCGAGAGGAGTAGCCGGAAATCCAACAACCACCACCCCAATTTTTCTGTCTAATAGATGCCTCGCAAAAGCCCTAAAGGAGGGGAAAAAAGGTTAACTGAGAGATGAGCAAATTATGCTACAAAACAAGAAATACGTATCATTTACTTCCTTGTAATTATATGTAGACGATGATTAAAGACATTAAACCTCTGTCAAATAAATTCTTAATTGTCAGGGAAATGGGGAGTCAGTCACATGATGGCACCCATAATGGAGTAAGTATGCTATGGGACCTGGCACACATTAAAAATGACAAATGCTCAATTTGAGCAGATAGTGCCAATTTACCCTGGTTTAATAAGTTTTCATTGATATAAAGTTCTTTGTCCACAGGTTTCCTAGGAATCGAAACCTAACAGCTAACACAATGGTTACCTAAAGAAAGAACATAGGTTAAAAACAACTGTGTTTTACAAACAACATCATCATAATGTGTGGAAATTTCATGCAGCTTATTATTATTGACTATAATTTTAGGACCAGATTCCAAAAGTCTGTAGGAGCCCAACCCCAAGCCACATCCCATTCCAAAGATTTTACTTTCCATCAAACTAGAGATAGCAAGACTCTCCTCAATTTTTAATGTGTGAACACATCCAGTCCATTCAGGGATGTGTTTAATTCACTCGCAGAGTTAAAGGGGGGCCAGGCAGGAGGTCAGATGGGCAGAGAAATATGCACACACAGTGTGACTGGCCAGTAGATGCCGCTGGTGGGGTATCAGTTTTGTAAGCACAAAGTGCTTTGATGCAGCGCAAAACCTTTTAAAGCAACAACCCCCTCCCCTTAATCATGTCTAGGCGTTCTTTCTTTCCCAGAGCCCGTCTCAACAACAACTCCGGAATATCAAACTTTCAAAGTCTGTACATTTCTCCCGTCAATAGTCAGTGTCAGGGATAAAAGCCTGTACCCCCAGTGAATCTTAAACCTTAATTACTGAATGAGAGCAGGATGAGAGCTCTGCTCACAGTGAGGTAAATGCCTCAGATCTGGTCTTAGCATTAAGTGGTTGCTGGTGTATTATTTTAGGCTGGGAGCTAGCAGCACCACAGAAACCTTCCAGTCATAACTCAGGAAGAATTCTTGAACCAGACGTGGAGAGTAAGCCTGCTGTTCATTCATTCCTCTCGCCCTTTAGCTGTCTGACTTTTTTTTTTTTTAATAAATTTTTATTGAGGTAACGTGGTTTATAACATAATAGAAGTTTCAGATGTAGAACTTCGATGCTGTCTCCCTTTTGGTAGCCTCATGCAGAACATATTGCTTCAAACGCAGTGAGAGAGAACACAACTCATACACACTGCAAAGGCTCTCTGGATCCCTGGCTTGGGCAAGGCGAGATTTGCTCTTTGATTTGGACTACGAAGCTGACAAGGAGAGGAAGCTTTTTAACTGAGAGAGCTTGAGAACAGAGGCTGTTCTTTCTCTGTCTTGATCACCCTATGGAAGGCTGCCCACGGCGCTACACAGGATGAGAGCTCATAATTGTCTGAGAAACAAGTGCTTTTATTGCTAGAGCACAAACCACCTGACCCATGATCTCAGGCCAGTTTTCATGACTCCCCAAAGACTATTTTCACTGTCTGCAGGCTTCTCTTTGTACCAGAGGAAGAGCGTTTTGTCAAAGAATGGACAGCAAACGATGATTGTTGATTCTTAGGCTAAACTGAGGTCTTCCTAAAGTGCTTTCAAATTTAAGACTTTCACTACTACCCTAGGCTCCTCAATTGAATGTATATGATTGTCTCACCCATGATGTACAATGAGTCTCTGGGTTTGTCGTCCTCAGAACAAATTAGGTCAGTGTAGGCAGAGAGAAACTAAATCATGGAAGTAATAATGATGATGATGTCATTATTGTTAAATATAAGAATTTTAGATAATATTAATATAACATCATTGTTAAATATAAGAATATGACAGTATTAATATACTATTATTACTAAATAATGATAATATGTGCTTCATGCTGCATCACTGCCTCTTGTGTAACACCATCTTCTATGTGCAAAATGTACTAAATAGGAAATATGATACGTTCTTGATTATGTATTTATTTTTCATTCTTCATTATTTGAAGGGTGGCATCACATTATGCTGAACGCCACAGACCATTGTGGAGGAGTAGACTTGCAATAGGACTTTGCACAAATGAAATAAGGGGCAATATAATAATAGAGAATGTATTTAATAAAATGAAAACTTTTTAAAAGAGCAAATGAAATAAGTGTTCATATACAGGTTTTTATAATTAACTCCGTATTTCCCAAGCCTCTCTACATATAACCTTTCCATTGATGAAGTATCAGAGGAGGAAACCGGTCTAAGCAGCTGGGAAAGCTCTGATCAGCAACTGTTGCCAACAATCAACATTACTTTTGTAACTAAATTATTCTACATTTCCTTAAGTAATACAATTAGGTTTTTTGTTCATTGTAGTAATTGTTGCCTTTCAGCCACCAAAGATGACATTAAAGATAGTGAGACTTATGCTCCACGTTGCTTTGATGAAACATACATCTTTGCTGTGAACTACAGGCTGTCTGTCATTGAACAGAACTTCATCTGGAAGGCAAGTAAAACAGGATTTGAATTCTGGATTCTACTATCTACAATCATGGTGACTTTTAGTGTGCAACTCTGTTTGGGTGGATTCAGAGTCCTCAATTGTAAGCTAGGCTAAGCACTTAGCCTCTGGTTTCCTTCCCATAAAGCTGGTGAGAAGGTCTTGTTGTTGGGCTGTGTCATGTGGCCTTGAATTCAGCAGTCCATCCCATGCCTATGCTGAAATGCCCTGTTAGTGGCAGAAGCACCATCTTTAGCAAATGGCCTTGGGGCATAGGCATGATAATTGAGCATCTTTTGGGTACTCACGCTACTTTGGCAGGCATGTAAAGGAGCAGGGGGACAACGGGTGATTCCTCATTGCCGTAGATAATGAATCCCATTTCACTTAGTCTCTGTCTAAAGTATCTTGTGTTTTTTGCAAGTTGCCGTACTCTCTGCAATCCTGAAAAGACAGTCATGAAATCCATCATTTCCTACCAGGAAGAAGGAAATAAAGTTCATATCGATTTGGCAAGCATTTCTGAGTCTGCTGGTCTGTACTAGTAGCTGAAAGGGGGTTAAGTGGAGTGAGAAAATATTTCCAGGTGAGCAGGTGTGGGCAGTGATGCTTAGGGTCTCTCCTGGGCCCCGAAGGCTAGATTCAAGGGCTAGCGCTGTCAGTTACTGCCAGCTTCTGAAGGCTGCTGGGTGTGGAGGAAGGAAGAAGGAAGAAGTAAGAAGGAAGGAGATGAACTGTCATAACTAGGTAACTATTATACATGGATCCTATGCTAAGTGCTTTTAAAATTTCTTTTTTTTTTTTTTTAAGATTTATGTATGTATACAGAACTGGGGTACAGGACAGAGGTGCAGGGGCAGTGAGAGGATTTCCCAGAGATAGAGTGGGGAGCAGAACAGGCCGACTGATGAAGTACACTGCTGAGGGGAGCAGCAGGCTGCTGTGCCATGTGGGTCACCTCCAGGGAGGGGATCGAACTCATGCTAAAGTGGCTTTAGCTTCTTAGTGCTGTGCTTTAACCCACTGTGCCACCAGGGAGGGCCTTAAGATTTATTTTATTTATGCATACAGAACTGGGGTATAGGCCAGAGATGATTCACCAGAGACAGAGTGGGGAGCAGCAGACAAGACAGGAGAGCACTGCTGTGCCATGTGGATTAGCTCTAGAGTAGGGACAAAGAATCGAACTCCCAAGGAAGATGGCCAGCTTGCAGTGCTGTGCTTTAACCTGCTGGGCAACCGGGGAAGGCTGCTTTTAAAATGTTAACGCAGAAGGGAATGTGACAAGAAAGTACACATACACACCCAGACACAAACACACCCCCACATCCCACAACTATTTGTTGCTACAGGGTTTTATGTCAAACTGAGTTAGCCCATTAAGTTGCACTTCATCAGATTCTCTAATCAAACAACACTATATTCATCCTGAATTTGAGGATACAAATCCTGGGACCAGGATTGTTTTGTGAGGCATTTGGTGATTGTAGAATAATACAAGAAAAGAAGGATGAGTACCTTTGCTTTCTTTAGCCAGAAAAAATAATTTGGCCCCAAGAAGGTAAAGCAAGGTGCCTGTGTCCTTATCAAGATTATTGGTGCTTCAGCTCAAAAGCTTATCTTCTATCTTATGTGTGTGTCTCAGAGGGATGCGCACACACATTAGACCCCAGTTCTGTGTTTACCTTTGATGCATGGTTACCACTCTCAGGATTTTGCTGCTACAATTCCTTTTTATTCCAACTGGCCACGGGGCTATTCAAACTGATCAGAACTCTTGTTTTATCCAGTTATTCAATATTTTGAACATGATCCCTTGGTGTTTGTAGCTCTCCAGATGGATAAACAGGTAAACATTTCAGTGAACAGTCCTCTGGTTCCATCTTGAAAATATCACTTCAGAATTCCTCTTTTTGTCTCGACAAAGGGCTGAGCAATGTGTACTCCCTGATCAGCATCATTATCATTTCTCCAGGCAGACTTGGCCCTACCTTTCCTCTTTGGTACAAGGTAGCATGGAACCCCAGCCTGGCCAGTTGGACTACTCCACTCTTAATTATTGGTTCATGATGGAGTACAATGTGGCCTGTCAGAATCTTTCCAATCTACTAGGAAGAAGTATAAGAATGGTCATTTTTAGCTACTTTCTGCCATGATAGACAGGAAACCTGCTTGAGAAGAATGTTGACTCCAAAGAAAACAAGGCACAAGGCAGCTAGAATCCCAAAAGCATTACTGAAACCTCAGCAAGTCCAACATTTGAACTGTTTTTGTTGTGTGAACCAGTATATTCATTTTTCTTATTTAATTGACTTTGAGCTGAACTTCTACAATGCCCAACCAAATGTACACTGAGTGATAGACTAGTGGCTACTAATTGGATGAAGTTACCCTTAAAAGGTGCAGCAGGTTGAAGCACAGCATTAAGAAGCTAAAGCCACTTCAGCATGAGTTTTTGATCGCCGGCCACGGAGATGATCAACATGGCACAGCAGACCTCTCTTCACCCGCCTGCTGCTCCCCTTAGCAGTGTACTTCTTAGCCAACCTGTTCAGCTCCTGCTCTGTCTCTGTGAATCCACTCACCTTCTCTGCACCTCTGGCTTGTACTCCAGTTCTGTATGCATAATAAATAAATCTTTAAAAAAATATTCATTGTAACTGACACAGATGTAGTGTCAACATGATTATACTTGTCATTTAATAATTTACTTATTCCTCACAAAAACTGTTTTGAGGTAGATGCTGTAAAATCATGTTGTGTATGAGGAGGAGACAGGTATCAAGTTCACATAGCTGGTAATAGTAAAGGCAGAATTTGAATCTATGTAATTGAGTTGTAGACACTGCTGTTAATTCCTACATTATGGTGCTCTATTCAGTGGCAGAATGAATGGAGTCTTTTCAAATAATGGAAGGCTTCTTCCCAAGATCAGTAAATCTTATCTCTACTACTAGAATCATAATTATACCAAGCTTTCCAGTAGAGACATTGAAAGTTGAAGGCTTGAACAAACTTTTGACAGCCTCATGGTAGGGGGTTTGGTAGAGCATTAGGCCTACCTAGAGTTGGGGGCCTACCACAGGTGAGGACTCGTGAACTCCACTCACTGCGGGTGTGGTTACCTCAAAGGCTACTTCTGAGAAGAGTGAGTCAGAAGCACAGACATCTCCAAAGGTCAGACTTTTTTCAATGCCTAATATTTTTCACTGGATTCTATCATTCCTAAAATAAGTCAGATCTTCCTTTGCGAACTTTCTTTGATCAGACCCAAATCAGCTTGACTTTTGCGACACTTTTCATATGTCACTGTAAACGCCACAGAATAGAGATCTAGTTGAATAGGATACCCACCAACAAGGAGAATGATGAGTATGTCAACTTTCCCTCTTGTTTTCTATTGCTGCTATTCACCCAACCCTAATTTCTAAAGAAAGATTTTTCCCCCAGCATTGTCAGATTCTCAACAAACTGGTTGCGATGGAGAAAACACCCAGCTTATAATACATTCTCAGGACAGTTGCTATCTCAGTTACACCAGGCTGACCACAGTGTGAATGTCTAAAGGGAAGTCTGTTTTGGTTTTGATCAGGAGCCATGTGGTTGACTGTGAGAACTTTTCCAAAGAGGTCAGACATATGAAATAAACCAATAAGATCTTTTCATTAGTAGAATGTGAAAGTGAAAAATTTGAAGAACCAAAAATTGCTAGTAAGACTAGAAATTGAGGGACTTAAAGATAAAATAGTACTTTTAGAATCTATGAGACAGAGGAGGTCACTGGTCAGTAGATGCTTTTGTCACCCATCAAAAAGAGGTGTTCACAAGTGTTAGCCAGGGAAAGAATGAGAGAAGAGCACTCCAGTCACAGGAAACAGGTGTGTTGTTCTGCTGGTTTGTAGAACAGGATATTTGTGAGCCAGGCAAGATGTCACTGAGTATGGGTCAAGATGAGATCAAAAGTATACAAGGGAAGAAGCCAACATTTAAAGGTTGAACAACAGAGAATGAACTTTAAAAAGAGACAATAGGAAAAACTGGTCAAGGAGAAGATAAATCAGGAGATGAGCTAGTTTTTATTGTTTACCAAAATGACTATCACTGAAAACCTTTACCCTGGGGATCTTGGTTGGTTAGATAGGCCCTCTTCCTCCAAATTCCTTGTTTGCAATATAAATACATATATAAGGGATTCAAAGTAGAACCATTTTAAGCTTCCTTTGTGCTTAAATAAGGAGCTGCTTTGTGATATTACTAAAGATTATCCTGGAAATCTATGGCTATATAGAGAGCAATATATTTGAGGACTATTACTAGAAATTAAGAAGGACATTATTTGCCTTTCAGAAAAGATTTCATACAAATGTTAAGGAGTTGAGAACAGAAGGATTAGGGGGAGGTTGTGGACAAGAGAAGGAAAAGAGGGGTGGACGTAAGACTTTAAAGGTGATTGAAATGAAGGCACAGACATGCATCCCAGCCACCAAAATGTATTCCATATGCCCTGCCTGTTTGGCTCTTTTGTTGATCATTAGTTGTACAATGAATAGATGACTTCATCAGGCTGGGCCTGATGATTCCTAAATGATCCCCCTCAAAGACTAGAAGGATTTGCTGGCCTGGAAGTACATGAATGACTTAAATTGCTTTTCCCAATGGTCTTATCTTTGCACTTGCCCATAATGACTCATCTATCACTGGGTTGCCCAGCTACTTAATTGACCCCGTCTGTCTCCTCTGCCTGATTAACCCAAGTAACTGGATCATCAGCTAATGTCATCACTTTACTGCTTCTAGACCTTTGGCGAGTTGACCAAGCAGTTCCAAACATGAATCCCAGGGGGAACTGACTCTTAAGAACTGAATGTTTTATTCTTGTCCTGTCTTTCCTATGTTTGAACCATTGGGCACAATGTGGCTGACAAACCATTATGACACACTTCTGTGGTGATTATGTTTTCTCATATAAGTCACTATAGATGCCTTTGAGGTCTTTTGAGTGGCCTCAAGATACAGCTCCTTTCAATTTATTGCTCACTCTTTCAAATTGGAAACATTCTCCTACTCTTGGAGGGCCTGGGGGCAGAGAGGAATTTGTACATATAAAATGCTACTCATCTAGACAGGATGTGGGTGATTTTATTAATTATGGTGTGCTGTGAGATCTTTGCTTGAAGAGCACTTTGTAAAAGAAGGTTTTAGCACTTGTCCTTTCATAAAGGGAGCCCATGCTGGGATGCAAGGAGACGGCCATGTTCTCTGCAACAAAGTCCTTTTAAACAATTTCTGATCCTTCTTCCACACATTACATAGAAGACAGGAAAGGTCCCTGTTCAACTAAATAAGTAAATGAGCTGAATTCTTATGTATAGTTTTGTAGAGTTTATGTGATTATTTTGCTGTTGAGTAGAAAAGGAATAGGTTTTGCTGTTAAATGAACTAGG